AATATGGATTTTGTCCCGTAATACCCTTCAAACTATTTTTCATCCCACTTTGTTCCCTAAACTATTAAATTAGTTCGTGATTACCCTCTACACTATTTTCAGTCTCACCTTATTCAATACCTAATTACCACATATTATTTATGACATTATGAGTATTTTTAATAAAGTTAAGAGAAGCAAGTGATAGTTTAGGGGGCATTGTGGGACAAAAGTAGTTTGGGGGGTAAACATAAAATAAATTTAATAACTTAGGGGCATATATGCATTAAAAAAATTCAGGGGTAAGAAGGGACATATCTAATAGCTTAAAGCCTTAAAGGATAAGTAAGGATAGCGCCTATATTTTTGAGTTTGGCTTGGTAGCTTGCTCACTGTTGGGCTTTTTAGATCTCACAAAAACCCTAAAAATTACCAAACACGGTAAATAGAATCACACGAGATTTAACATGAAAAACCCTCAATAGGGAAAAACCACGGGATCAAAATTAATCTACTACCACCTCCAAATTACAATCTTTTGTATGGACAAAGACTATCAAACTCTCTCTCACACAATACCCTTGAACCTGGTTACACCCTATAAAACCCTGATTACAAGAATATTGTCTCTCCTTCTTTCTATTCTAAAACCCTAGAATAGAACGCCTTATTTAAAGACACCTCTAACTTGCCCGCAAGTTAACTTGACCTCTAAAAAAACTAGTAGGACTAGGTCTAGCCTTCAAAACCGCATCCGATTTGAAGTTTGAGTTGGTACCCAGCACTAACCTCTTTTAGGTGAAATGTGAAATTGAAGGAAACATGCAGAAATGAACATAATTCTGATATTTTTATGCATATCTCGCTTCCTTTATAACTCGAAAATGATAGGAAATACTCAATTATCAATGTTTTAGTACGGGTGCCGCCTATCAATCATTTACTAGTATATCTCATTTGATTAAACCGTCTGGAATAATTTTAAGGAAAATGATCTTTGGATACATTCACGTAACATAAGCTGCATTTCTAGCTTAATTTTTAATACTAAACAGGTAAAGTTGATCTACTTTTAATACAAATCTAGTAACTTAGTCTTAGTGATAACTACACTATTATTTCTACACTACAAGAGAGAAAAATGCACAATCTACATATTCTCCTAGGGCTGAGCATGGTTCGGTCCAAACTGAAAAAACCGACTGAACCTACCCGGAAAAATTGGTTTTATGAGTAGAACGGTTCGGGTCAGTTTGAAAATTTTTCAACCCGAACCTGTAGGCGTCAAAAAATGCTCATAGATATCCAAATACAACTCAAGGCTGAGAAAAGAACAATGTACATGCATGTGACAAAACACACTGACAGGCGTCACATATAGGCGCGGCAGCCTATAGTGACGCGTCATAGGCGCGACAGTCCATGGTGACGCGTCTTAGGCGCGGCAGTCTATGGTGACACGCCTAAGGCGCGGCAGTCCATGGTGACACGCCTAAGGCGCGGCAGTCCATGGTGACGCGCCTAAGGCGCGGCAGCCTATGGTGGCACGCCTATTGCACGTCAGTCCATGGTGATGTGCAAACTACAGGGAGCTGCCGCGGCGGTTAAAAAAGCAGTTATACGATAATTTTCAAGGTCCACGTGGCGGCATATCAGAAAAAGAACGTGTGCTGACGTGGACAAGCGGTTAAACCACGAAAAAAATGGTTAAAAGTCGTGGGAGGACAGTTTCAAACACGATGGGAACGTGGCTGTAACGGCCTCTTTGGCCGCGCCAATCCACACTGGCGCACCAATAGTCGCGGTAGTGTGGACTGACGCGCCTAAAGAGCAGTCACTTGGTCAGTTATTTCGTCCCCGTTTTCACTGTGGTGCACTCATATACCTATAAATACCTCCCTAGACACGAAAAAAGGAGGGAGAGCAGATTGGAGCATAGAGACTCGGGCTTTTAGTGATTTTGAGGAAGAGAGAGAGTCTTCATTCTTCATAAACACTTCAAGAAGCTTTTGGCGATTCCTAGAGATCTAAGCTCTGACTTGATCTTTAGAAGAGTGAACATCTTACATCGATAAGATATTCGCTTAAAGATTCTTACTTCGATAAACGAAGGAAGAATTTTCAAAACCTTTACGATTCAATCAGAATCTGTGAATCGGTGGTCCACAGGCTAACGCACCCCCGGCACAGGCAAAGATCCCACACAAGCAGCGATCCAAACAACGATCCTGCGTTTATTTCTAAGGAGCTTGTAATTTAATTTTTGTTGTAAAGAGTAGTTTTACAAAGAAAGATTCTTACTCTTTTGCATTCATTGTAATCGATAAACAGTTATAATGAATTCTACAACAGAACTTGTTCCTGACGCAAACAAACTGACGACCACAGTGGGAGCCAACGGTCTCGCTGTCGAGACCGTCGTGTCGCAGACGATCAAGATTCCAGTTGAATCCACGGTCGAATACGAGTTCGATCAAACCAAGTTTTAGGAATATCTCTCATCATCCTCTTCAAGATCTTCATTGTCTCGCAAGTACAAGAGGATCTCACAATTGAAGAAAGCTTACATACCAAAGAAGGCCCAATGTGAAGACTCTCACCCAATCGTTGCCAAGGCCTCCCCTCGCAACATTATCCCGGTGACCCCCAAGGCCAGAAGCTCTGCTCACAATGATTCCTCCCTAATTAAGGAATCATTCGATCGAAGTTCGCCAACTCTGACTAAGAGGGCTCGTCAGAGGCAACGCTAATGTCTCGCTCGTCAAATGGCTAAGGCCTTGGAACAAACTGACGGGGTTCACTGCTACGCGGTCCTAGTGTCACGCCCCGCTTCCCAAAATACCAGGGAATCGGGACGCGAGCAAGCCCGCAACGTATTAGATTGAGAAGAAATATACGCTATTTTTTTTTCTTCTCAATCCAATACACTAAGCGTCTGAAAATAATTATAATACGAAGTCACAGGTCCCCGATCACACATAGCAAGAATATAATGACAACTTAGAATGGAAAAGATACATATCACAAATAGAATATCATCCAGGACATAAAATTCGGGTCAAACATGCCCTTATACATATCTGAACAATGAATACTAAAGAGGTGCAAAGATACATCAAACCACGGAAATAGAAAGAACTACAAAAGTAAACTAAGGACTAACAGCTGATAAAAGAAATGACTAGGCTTCGGCTTCTTCTGCTCGGTCTACAGAATACTCCTGCGGGGGATCCTCTGACTCCTGGCGATCTCTCAGTTGGACATGTTCTTCTTCTAAGTCTGACGTACACCAGAAAAAACAGGTGTACGTTAGGGTGCAGGGCACACGGCAAGATCCCACAAAACAAATAGAACGAACGAAAACCAAAGCGGAAAACTATACAAAAATAGAAATGACAAAGAGACAAACAACTGGAAATCCAACAAAACCGACATGCGATAACACTACTAAAACATGATAATCAAAAGAATCCAAAAATCGAATAGGTAATGAGGTCATGCAGCAAGCGATCAGAACCATCATACAAGTTACAAGGTCATACAACTAGATGGAATTAATACTTAAAAATCTACAACTCGATACGTAGTACGTCGAGCGAAATAATCCAAACAAGGAAACCCTCATGTATATACCATATATGTCTCGGATTATAAATAATTAAATATTAATCCCGATCTATGTATCAAAAGAAACACAACTGGACTACCTCTCACAAGAAATCATACCTAGCCAAGAAACGAGGTTATGTAAATAGCCATCCTATAACAGGTCACTGGTTCACATCTCACATAGAGTCAAAGTTCGTATTCTCGAATAACCGGTTGTTCACAAAATCATTAACGCACAATGTTTCACTACCGCCATCAGATCCATGCCAGCGCTACATAGGAATATCGCTGGTGCGAGCCTGAAAATAATCAATAATCACGATATCATATTACCTCAGACCCACCCCAACGCTACACAGGAATATCGTTGGTGCGAGCCTAGAATAATCAACAATCACAATATCATATCACCTCAGACCCACCCTAACGCTACACAGGAATATCGTTGGTGCGAGCCTGGAATAATCAACAATCACAATATCATATCACCTCAGACCCACCACAACGCTACACAGGAATATCGTTGGTGCGAGCCTGGAATAATCAACAATCACATCCGATCACCTAAACCAGGAATTCTCCATCTCAATTCTTCTCGCTTTTCTAAGTCAACAAACAGAGGTATCTAGGTCCTATACACGACACGCTAGGCCACTAAGGACATGAACTACTAACGGTTATCAACAAAATAAGAAATAATAAATAAATATAACTATTTTATGCAAATCATATTATGAACATGACTATATAGACTAGCGATGAATCAGGTATGCATATATGACAATGAATGAGTATAAAATATAGACTAGCGATGAATCAGGTATGCATATATGACAATGAATGAGTATAAATAAGAGTGTCAACATGTTGGTGTCAATGTACATGAAATCTCGTGTTCTACGACTATCAATCACACGGTCATAACACAAAAATA